CTGTGATATGTAGCTCCGAATTGATGGATATTCGAATACTGTTTGGGGTATTACGGCTATAAAAAATCTCTGACTTTTGGAAATTTATTGATTGACCGGATGCTCTTTCATACAAATTTCCACTCCACTGCTAAAGTGCTTGACTGCGCCTCAGGCGGCCTACGTCATCGAGGAAATTCACCGGGGCATATGTGGCATGCATTCCGGAGCACGCTCAATGGCGACCAGAGTACTCCGAGCTGGGTACTACTGGCCCACTCTAAAGTCGAATTGCCAAGACTACATCCAAAAATGCAAAGAGTGCCAGCAGTTCAGCAACACACACCGGCAACTGCCCGAAGCTCTCCACCATATGATGTCGGCGTGGCCTTTCTCCCAATGGGGAATGGACATCCTCGGGCCATTCCCCCCTGCGAAAGGTCAACTGAAGTTCCTCCTAGTGGCGATCGATTACTTCATCAAGTGGATTGAGGCATGCCCACTCGCCAAAATCACCACTAAGAACGTGCAAAGATTCACCTGGAGGAATATCATTTGCAAATTCGGAATCCCTCACACCCTAATTACTGACAATAACCGACAATTCATCACACAGGGATTCAAGGACTTCCTCCGCGAGCTCGGTATCAAGCATCTTCCAACCTCGGTGGAACACCCCCAAATCAATGGTCAAGCTGAAGCAGCCAACAAGGTCATCCTCCGGAAACTTAAGAAGCGGCTAGGGAACGCCAAAGGACAGTGGCTCGACGAACTTCCCAGCGTCCTCTGAGTGTATCATTGCACCCCCCAGTCGACCATGCAAGAGATGCCTTACAGGCTGACCTACGGAGCTGACGCAATGATCCCAGTTGAAGTCAGAGAGACGTCCCATTGACGCCAAGTTTTTAACAGCGAGCAGAACGCTCGAGAGTTGGCAGCTGGCCTCGACTTGGTTGACGAGCTTAGAGACGTAGCTCAAATCCACGAAGAAGCCTGCAAGCTCCGAGCTTCTCGAAGATACAACGCCCTAGTGAGACCTCGCTCTTTCCGAGTTGGTGACTTGGTGTGGCGATTGTTGGGCGAAGCACGGAAAGATACGTCAGATGGGAAACTTGCACCCACTTGGGGAGGCCCATTCTGAGTTACAGAAGACTTGGAAAATGGAGCGTACCGATTAGAAGAGCTCAGCGGAAAACCTATACTACGAACTTGGAATGCTACGCATCTCAAGTTCTATTTCAGCTAAATTTTGTACGAATGAGTTGTGCACTCTTTTCCCGCCTCAGTCTTTTATCCCAAAAAATAGAAAAATGAGTTTTGGCTGAGAGGGTTTTTAACGAGGCACATTTACATAATCAATAAAATGACTCATTCTGTTCAATTCATATTTTTAGTTCTGCATCACTTTATGTTTTATGATGAATAGAGGTCGAGTTCGAACCAACTTCTTTCGCTCTCTCTTAAGGTCGAGTTCGAACCTTCACAAAGAATTACTTAACAAAAACACAAGGTCGAATTCCAACCTTCGTACAATTCACTCTACTTTAATCTGAGGTCGAGTTCGAGCCTCGGTATGACCAATTCGAGGTCGAGTTCGAACCTTCACAAAGAATTACTTAACAAAAATACAAGGTCGAATTCGAACCTTCGTACAATTCACTCTACTTTAATCTGAGGTCGAGTTCGAACCTCGGTATGACCAATTCGAGGTCGAGTTCGAACCTTCACAAAGAATTACTTAACGAAAATCTGAGGTCGAATTCGAACCTCGGCATGATTAACTTAAGGTCGAATTCGAACCTCGGCATGATTAACTTAAGGTCGAGTTCGAACCTTCACAAGAATCACGTAGCCAAAATCCGAGGTCGAATTCGAACCCCGGCATGGCCAAGGTCGAGTTTGAACCTTAACAAAAATCACTTAACGAAAATCCGAGGTCGAATTCGAATCCCGGCATGATTAACTTAAGGTCGAGTTCGAACCTACACTTAACCAAAATCCAAGGTCGCATTCGAACTCCGGAATGGTTAACTCGAGGTCGAGTATCACAAAAGATAGAAACACACAACAGACATTGAACGTGTGTCTCAAAATGCGCAGACAGCAAAAAATCAAGTCTAAACGCAAAGGCAAAGAAAAGCGCAAATGGACAAAAAATACACATATATACAGCAATGTTTTCAAAGTTCCACAATTGAATTCAGAGGAGATAAATAAAGCAGGGAAAATTAAACTAGGCTTTTACAAAATTTGGCCTGCGCGGAGGCATTCTCACTAGAGCTATCCTCGAGGTCGTCCTCCTTTACCAGCTTCCCAAAGCGAACTACTTTCTCCACGTGCATGGCAGAGAAGTCGAACCCCGGGGCAAGAAGCCTTGCCTGGCGAGCTACCTTGAGGAAACCCCGCTTATATTCAACCACAATAGCCCGTTCGGTTTCCTCTAGCTTCTTCTCCAGCACCGCCCTCTCCGCCTCCTGCTTCCCCAGCTCCACTCTCAAAGCGGCAACCTTATCCTCTTTGCCGCTAAGGACGACCTCATCACAGAGGCGCTTCTCAGCCGCAACCACCAGATCACTCTTCAGGGAGGTCACCTCATCCTCCAAGGAGCGGACTCGACCACGGGAAGACGTCACCTCGTCTTCCAAGAAACGCACCCGACCTCGGGATGCGGTGGCAAGTCCCTGCAGCTCGTTCACCTGGGAGGCATAGTTCTCGTTGGAGCGCAGGGTGATCTCCAGCGACTTCTGAACCCTCGCAAGGTCCCCCCTCGCAGCTCGAAGCTCGGCACCCTGCAATTTCGCTTCACCAAGGGCAGCACTAAGAACCTTGTTCTCCTTCTTCAGGACTTTGTTTTCGTCCCTCA